TATTAGATCAGATCCAGCAGATCCCTATCTCGGGGGACGATTCAGATAGCATGAGGTGGAGACTTACATCATCAGGTGTGTTTTCTACTACCTCGGCTTGGGAGCAGATAAGGCTGAGGGATCGGCCTAATCTCCTTTTTGGGGCTATCTGGAGTGACCTTTTTACGCCTACTATTTCGGTATTCCTTTGGCGCCTTCTCTTGCACCGGATACCCGTCGATACTGTGCTACACGCGAGGGGGGTCTCCTTCCCATCTCGGTGTGTGTGTTGTTCTGAGACTGGACGCCATGAGACTGAGACCTTTACCCACCTTTTTCTAGAGAGTGAGATTGTGAGGAGAGTGTGGGAGCATTTTGCCACTTGGACCCATATATCCCTACCCACCACATACAGTTTTTTTGAGCTCCTGAGTTTTTTCTCACAGAGCACACACCTTAGACACGTGGGCTTCCTAATTCCTTGTCTGATCCTTTGGTTCACCTGGACAGAAAGGATTAGTGCGAAGCATAGGGATACTACTTTTATGTTTTCTCACATTGTTTTGCATGTTGAGAGACACATTTCACTCCTCATCTCTTTGGGCAGGCTCACGGCCCGAGACTGGACAGGCTGCACGCCACCACAGCGCCACATGGTGGCCCCACCACCGCCTGTTCGGACGCCTCGGGCCAGAGCTGTTGTTTGGCTTCGACCTGATTCTCCTTGGGTCAAGCTGAACACTGATGGATCCTTCGATCGCCACACTGGAGTTGCCGGAGGAGGAGGCTTGATTCGGGACCATAGCGGCGCCCTCATCACCGCCTTTCATGCGTCCATTCAGGCCTCCTCGAGCTACGACGCAGAGATTCAGGCACTACAGATTGGCCTTCAGATAGCTACCCACATCTCTAGTCATATATGGATCGAGCTGGATGCTGCGGCTGTCGCCACCCTCCTGACTTCGGGCCATCAGGGCTCGTGGCAGATTCAGCACCCGCTTCTGCGCATTAGAGATCTACTTCAGTCAGTCCATCACAGGATCACGCACATCTTCCGTGAGGGGAACAGACCGACTGATTACCTGGCCAGCCTTGGCGCCACCATACCAGGCACACATACATTCCAGACCGACACTGCTCCACTCCGCCTTCGCACTCTTGTACGGATGGACCAGCTTGGATACCCAGCGTTCCGCTTTCACTAGTATAGGATTTCTATTTTCATTAGTATAGACTTATCTCGGGCATCTGTTAGCCCGAAGATCGACCTTATTCTGTAGTTTTTTGTTTCTTTTTCATTTTTCGCTTTTTTTCTTTTTTTGGTTTTCTTCTTTTTGGTTTTTGATTTTCAGACTATGTAGACCTCTGTATCTGGTTCGTTGACATTTTGGGCTCCCATTTTTGGGGCCCTGATCTATGCACAGGTTGGGGATCCAGCCCAATCCCCCGCCCTCCCGGGGCGTTGTTGTTTTAAAAAAAAAAAAAAAAAACCTAGCATCAACAGACAACTAACCTAGCAAAATCATACAACTAACCTAGCCACAATATTTAAGTCTTATGAAAAAGTCGTGTATTAATATGGGTAGTTATGGGTCAATAAAGGCAGACTTCATATAAAGTGGACAAAAATTAGGGTTACACTTCATTGTCAAAGGCTAATACTTTTCTGCCGCTCAACCAAAGAAGACATCGCAAAGTTGAAGGTGAAATCTCTGTTAATTTTCTCTTAATCTTCACTATGTTCTATGTATTAACTATTGCATAATATGATTTATTATATATGCTTCTTTTTATGTTAATTTTCTATTGCATAAGGTGATTTATTATATGATGTATTAACAGAATATGGATCTCATGAACGACAACAACGAATACTTACTGCCATCTTTCTATAAGACTGTTTTGACCAAGGTTCTCCACACTATGGTAAAGTTCTTTGTTTTAATTATTCTTTTAATAGTGCACTGTTACATATAAAATCAAGTTTTAACAGAAAAAAGAAAATATGCTGTGATTTTCCAGCCCTTTCCGCCACCCACTCACGACTATTTCCGTGATGAGGATCTGTCCCAGAGATGCATTATACATACAATAGAAGGACGCACATATGAGACTGTGATAAAAAGGGTTGATGGCTACCCAACAATTATAGACGGTTGGCGCGAGTACATTGTTACAGAGGACGTTGAATATGGTTCCTTATTGCTCTTCAGACCAACCAGCAACTTAGACTATGAAATTAAAATCCTTGAGCGCAACAATTGCAGTCGGCCGCCACAATATAATTTCAATGTCAAGATTAAGCCCACACACATTGAATGTTTCCGTTTGGTAAGTTTAATAAATTTCATCTGGATTAACTTGTTTGTATTTAAATACATATAATACATACAAAATACTTTATTCTTGCAGCCCATACCAATGCCTTTCTGGAGGGAACATATCAGGGGAAAATTTTCTTACTACCAACGCGCATCTATAAAGTAGGAGAACGAGTTTACAGGGTAAACATCACTCAGGGAGATGATGGAAGGAAGACTATGCAGAATGGCGACGCTCGAAAATTGTTTGAAGAAAAGGAAATTTTAGAAGGGACAACATGCACTTTCTTCCTTGTTCAAGATGATGTAGACATGATGAAATTTAGAATTAAGATGTAGTGATTGTGATTTGTTTGGTATTTAGTTCTCTGATGTGTTGGAAATGTTTGTATTTTGCTCGACAATTTATTTGATCTGATGTATTTTGCTCGACAATTTAGTACGATAAACTGATGGAAGTGTTTTTCTATAAAACTTTTTTGATGCATTTTTAGTTATTATTTAATTTCTTTTGATATCTTTTGGTCTTTTTGTTACAAGTGTTTGTTATTCTAACCTAGCAACTAGATATATCTAACATAGCAGCACCGGAAAACTAACCTAGCAACAAGATAGAACTAACCTATCAACAACAAAAAAACTATCCCTGCAGCATGCTAGAACTAAACTTAGCAATGTCAGACAACTAACCTAGCAAACATCGGACAACTACTCTAGCAAAGTAAGACAACTAACCTAGCAACAATAAATAAATAACCTAGCAGCATCAGACAGCTAACCTAGCACCTACAGACAACTAACCTAGCAGCAAAAAATAAATAACCTAGCAGCATCAGAAAACTAACCTAGCAACAATAGACAACTAAACTAGCAACATTTATATCATATAAAAGGTCGGGTATTTAGTTATTGCTCAGTATTGTCAGACTTCATATAAAGTGGACAAAAATTAGGGTTACACTGCATTGTCAAATGCTAAAATACTTTTGTGCCGTCCTGCCAACGAAGACTACAGAATATGGAACACAATACTCTGCATCACAGGAATGACGATAATGAATACTTACTGCCATGGTTGTCTAAGCGTGTTTTGCCCAGTGTTCTCCATACTATGGTAAACTTCTTTTTTCTTAATTCTTCTTTTAATAGTCCACTGTTACATATAAAAAGCACAGTTTAACTGAAAAAGAAGAAAATATGTTGTGATGTTCCAGCCCTTTCCACCATCAACGCACTACTTTTTCCCTGATGAGGATCTGTCCCAGAGATGCATTTTACATACATTAGAAGAACGCACGTATGAGACTGTGATAAAAAGGATTGATGGCTGCCCAACAATTGTAGACGGTTGGCGTGAGTACATGATTACAGAGGACATTGAACTTGGTTCCAAAATGCTCTTCAGGCCAACCAGCAACTTAGACTATGAAATTAGAATCATTGACCGCTACTATTGTAGTCGGCCGCCACAACATACTTTCAATGTCAAGATTAAGCCCACACATGTTGAACGTGTCCGTTTGGTAAGTTTAGAAAATTTCTTTTGGCTGCATAATTAACTTGTTTGTATTTAAATACATGTTATACATATAAATTACTTTATACTTGTAGCCCATACCAGTGCCTTTCTGGAGAGAACATATCGAAGGCAAATTTAATCACTACCACCGCGCACGTATCCAAGTAGGAGGAAGAGTTTACAGGGTAAACATCGCTCAGGGAGATGATGGAAGGAAAACTATGCAGAATGGCAACGCTCGAAAAATGTCTGAAGATAATGCAATCTCAGAAGGGACAACCTGCACTTTCTTCCTTGTGCAAAATGAAGTAGACATGATCAAATTTAGAATTAAGATGTAGTGAGTGTGATCGTTGTGTCTTTTGTTCTCTGGTCTGATGTTAGTGTCTTTTGTTGTGATCTAATGGAAGAAAACTTGTGTTGCAGTCTTTTGAACGATGGTCTGATGGAACCGTTTTGTTTTTATAAATCTCATTTGAAGCATTTTTATTTATTATTTAATGTCTTTTGATATTTAATGCCTAGCAACTAGATATATCTAACATAGCAGTACCATATAACTAACCTAGCAACAAGATAAAACTAACCTAGCAATAACAAAAACTATAAAACTTTTTATAAAACTTTTTCTTAATAAGTGCTCGACAATTTAGTCCGATAGTCTGATGGCAGTGTTTTTCTATAAAACTTTTTTGATGCATTTTTAGTTATTATTTAATGTCTTTCGATATCTTTTGGTCTTTTTGTTAGAAGTGTTTGTTAGTTATTCTAACCTAGCAACTAGATATATATCTAACATAGCACCACCGGAGAACACCTTGCAACAAGATAGAACTATCCCTGCAGCATGCTATAACTAAACTTGCAACCTCAGACAGCTAACCTAGCAACGACAGACAACTAACCTAGCAAAGTAAGACAACTAACCTAACAACATTAAATAAAACCTAGCAGCAACAGACAGCTAACCTAGCATCCTTAGAAATTAGACAACAGCAGCGAAACAAATGCTCTCCCTTCTCTCTAACTTTCTCTCTCTACAAACCCTCGTTCCTCTTTTTCCCTACTCTGATCAGCCCTTGTTTCCGACGCAAAACTCCTCGCCGGCGGGCCACCTCCGCCGCCGCCTCTGGCGGCGAGCCGCCTGATCTTCCTCCTCACCATTTCCAGCCGCATCACCCATGGAACAGCCCTCGACACTCCCTGACCCTCCTTCCCCACGGTCTCAGTCCAACATCGCGGAGTATCCTCTCCCGCAACTTCATCTTCCTCGACCTTCCTCATCGGTAATCCCCGCCGATCTGACCTCTCTGATTTTAGCGGAGGTGTCCAAGGCTATTCAAAACCTCCTGCCGGAAGTTCAAAGCTCAACTTTGGAGGAGGGAGAAATACCAACAATTGTTACGGAAGCCCCCGTCGACGGCACCATAGCAGCTAAGATAGTCGCCGGCGCAAGGACAGACATCTCCGGACAAGGTCAGTCATCTCAGGTCAGAGTTAGCAGAACTTCCGATGTCAAACCTCCGGTCACTCTGCGATCGAAGACCGACGATGTTACAGAAGCCGGTCCTCAGAAGATGCCATCGGAACTCGGCCCTCTCACGACCAAAAATCTGAGCAAGGCCGCCGACGAAAGCTCAGACCTCCAACCGGTGCAAAATCGATGGCCTTTTTCATTTGGGCTATTGCCGTCGACCAACCTCCCGTCGATCAAAACAAAGCCAATAATTGAAGGCGGCGACGCAGGGAAGGAAAACCCTCAGCTGAAGGTGGACGTGGGCCCAATCTCCATCCATCACGTGGCGGCACAGGACAAACCCACTACAAGGCCCAATTCCATATAACAAACAGGACCAATTCTACCTGGGCCAAAATCAACCACCCAGGCCTTTACCCATCAACATGTTGCAGCCCATAATTCCCATAAAAATCAATCAAACCCATTAACCTCTCTCGTGGGCTTACAGCCCAACACTATAATCACTCAAACCTCTCACTCACAGCCCGGTTTTGGGCCTTTACTTGGGCTCGCGCCTCAAGCCAACAGCTCGCAGCCCACCCCTCAACCCACTTCGCCCTTCATTTCTCCTCAGCCCATTTCCAAGCCAGACATCTCCATCTCCTCTACCCAGCCCGTCACACTACAATCAAACCAAAACACCACCTGCCATCAAACAGACAACAATGACCGTCCGACAGCTGACAGCCACCCCTCCGGCAACGGCGACGGCGCCGGCTTTATCACCGGAAATTCTCCACCCGCCGGCGATACATTCGGGACAGCCCCGAAGTTGGGCAATATGGCCGGAATCCTCGGTCCAAGTCCAAAATCACCCTCGCCGCCAAACCACCTCGCCGGAATAACCACTTCGAAAGCTGGAGATACCGCACCAGCCATTTTGTACGTTCGCAAGGATGGAGTGGTCGTTACAGTTCCGGACACGAAATCCGCACCTCAAGTGACCGAACATCCCCCGATCGGTACACCACCGACGAACACCTCCACGCCTATCCCCGTTGCAACCGAGCCCCCTCCGAACACCTCATCTGGCCCGATTTCTTTCCGGGAGGCGATTACCGGGAAGAGAGATGGTAGCACGGGCGCCCCTCGGTCGACACCCAAGGACTTTACCTTTGACGGGAATTACGAGCATGCTTGCGGGACCATTATCCGCTCGGAGGAGAACAAAGTCAAGGCCCGATTCACCGACGCCGAATCTGTCGCTCTCGCAGGTAAACTAGCTAACACTCTGGTCTTTAAGTTTTCATATGCTATCCCCGCTCCCCGAGATATATCTGCTGGGTTAGGAAAACTGGGCTTTAAGGGTAGAGTGTCGTCGAAGTGGTACAATTTCAACCACCTTCTAGTGTCCTTTCACCTACCTGAGGATTATAACGAGGTCTGGCTTAAGACCTCGATTCATTTGTGTGGATGCCCAGCTAGGGTGTTCAAATATTATGCCGGGTTTAACCCGAAGACGGAGGCGCCGGTTGTCCCCGTGTGGTGTCGCCTTCCCGGCTTACCATCCCATCTTTACGATCGTGCTGCCATCACTACACTAGCTAAGTGTATTGGGCAGCCGATTCGTATCGACGCCCCGACGGCCCTTCAGACGAGGGCTAACGTGGCGCGATTTTGCGTCGAGATAGATCTGAGAGCTGAGCTTGTTCACGAGATCGAGATTGAACAGGGCTCGGAGTCTCTTGTTCAGCGGGTGATCTATGAGAAGATCCCCGCGTTCTGCACCTCGTGCAGCCATGTGGGTCATGTTGCGGCCGATTGCTACATCAGTGGCAATAAGCCACGGCCCGCCCTCCCGCAGCGCCATCGTACGTCCCAGCAGGGAACCTCCACCAGCCGGAGGGACCCGAAGGGAAAGGGCAAAAGCCCTCTCCGCGAGCCCGAGACCCCGAAGGGGTCTAAGGATAAGGGCAAGGCTGTGATTGTCGATACTGCCCAAACTGGGAAGGATGCTCATCCTACCCAGCCTAAGCAGTTGGCCTTAGTGGGTCCCAAGCCCAAGTCCACGGGCTTTCTCCCTAGACAGACCTTACAGACGGCCTTCAAGGCCAACCATTCCTACTTTGCTATTCTTTCCCCTGAGGCAGAGAAGGAGTCTGTTCCTTCCTCCAGCAGGCCTCCTAAGATTACTGATCTTACGCTTCTGGATGACGATGACCTCCTTGGAGACGACATGGACCAGCCGGACGGCACGACTAGGAGAGAGTCCATCCATCTATCCGATGATAGTGCACGCGATGCCAGCCCTTCGACCGTGCGCGCATCTAGTCCGGTCCGATCTTCGGAATTGAGGGCTACTGCCGCCACCGCTCCCCCGAAAAAGGATGAGTAGGCCCATCCTCCCCCTGCTGAGACTCGGAGCTCGGTTGAGCTGATAGTCAGCTCTCAGCCCCCTCCTACCGGCGAGCACCCGAGTGCTCTGCCTGTTGGACCCTCTCTTTCGCCTATCCCCGAGCAGACATGCGTGCTCAACCGCGCGCAGCATGACGTCTCGTGCGAGAGCTTCGCCTCTAGCGCTTTTCTCCACCTTGACAGACGGGAGACAGCCCCGGAGATGGGACAACCCGCTAATGCTGCTATAGGTCAGTCTGTCCAGCCAGACGACTCACAGGCTACGAGTACATACCGAGGCAGACAGACCTCGAGGACCAGAGCCATGCAGCATACGAGACGGCGGACGATCTCCCCTGCTATTGGACCCTTCCGCCGCTCGACACGACGGATGAATTCCCATTCTTTAGGTGGCCCGAATCAGCCTCGCCATAGGCGGACTAAGTCCGGTGGCTCTTGCGACCGTTGATATGTCCATCACATCCATTACTTGGAATGGCCGTGGCCTGGCGAACAGGGCTACTCTTTCTCACCTTCACTCTCTTATCCGTGACCACAGAGTCGATTTTGTTGGTTTTATTGAGCCGATGATTCGCACTCCTTCTTTTGACTACTACTCGCGTCGTCTGGGCTTCCACTCGGGCGTGGGTAATATTTCGCACAAGATTTGGTTTTTCCACTCGCGTGATTACACTTGTCGGGTCCTCCGCGACACCGATCAGGTGCTTCACGTAGAAATTTCCGCTGCCCACCTCCCGGAGCCCATCTTTCACACCTTGGTTTATGCCAAGTGTACTAGGGTCGGGCGATATGATCTTTGGGACACCCTGCGTGAGATTGCCGAGAGTATGGAGGGATTGCCATGGATGGTTAGTGGCGATTTCAACATCTTTTTGCACCCCGATGAGTGCGTGGGTGGCCGCACGGACCGATCCCGAGAGATGTGGGATTTTGCGCAGACTGTGGCGGACTGCGAGTTGCTTGATGCTGGATGCGAGGGTGAGCCCTTCACGTGGGTTAGGGACAACCTCAAGGAGAGGCTCGACTGTGCTTTGATTTCTGAAGCGTGGTCGAAGGTGTTTGCGGTCACGACCGTCACGCACCTCACTCGATTTGGGTCTGACCATTCACCCCTCCTCATTAGATGTCGTTTTTCGAGCACTCCTCGCCGCGCTTCCTTTAGGTTCCAAAACATGTGGGTTCGCCACCACTCCTTCTACGACACTGTCAGAGATTCCTGGCTTCAGCCGACTGGGCTCTTCGGGATGCGCAATCTCGAGGCGAAGCTCGGCAGACTGCGGCGTCGGTTGAGACAGTGGAACTGGGATGTTTTTGGAAACCTCCATCACCACCTTACTGCAGCTCAGAGTGCGCCTGCGTCGGCTGAGCGGGCCTATGACCTGGATCCCACTCCGGAGAATAGGACCGCCATGCACCGCTGCCACGCCGAGTACCAGCTCCGACTCCTTATGGAGGAGGACTTCTGGAAGCAGAAGGCGGCCGTTCGCTGGGTGGCCGAGGGCGAACGGAACACTAGGTTCTTCCAGGGCTACGTTAGGCAGAAGCGTACTAAGTCGTACATCCATAGCATCGAGGCTAATGGGTCATCCTTGACCCAGGAGGCTCAGATTCGGGAGTCGGCTGTTGCTCACTTCCAGACCCTCTTCACCTCTGACAGAGGGTCCCTCGTGGCCCCGAACGCTTCTTTCTTCCCCACCATCCCTTCTTCGGCCGATCTCACTGGCCTCTGTGAGCTCCCGAGCAGGGAGGAGGTTAGGGATGCTGTATTCGGGATTGATCCCAACAGCGTTTCTGGCCCGGATGGTTTCTCCTCCCTCTTCTATCAGGTCTGCTGGGATATTGTCGAGACTGACGTCCAGGAGGCGATGTTGGACTTTTTCTCAGGCCACCGGATGCCGGGTTCCTTCATGTCTACCTCTGTCGTCTTGATCCCCAAACGACCCAACCCGAGCTCTTGGTCCGATTACAGGCCCATCAGCCTGTGTAACGTGACCAACAAGCTCATTTCGAAGATTCTTAACGGTCGTCTTTCCCCTCTTCTCCCCTCTCTCATCTCTCCGAACCAGAGTGGATTCGTCAAGGATCGGGTCATTAGTGATAATATCCTTTTGGCCCAGGAGATGATCCACGACATCTCCCGAGCGGATTGGAAGCGGGCTCCGAATATCGCGCTGAAGCTGGACATGGCTAAGGCGTATGATAGGGTTGAGTGGCCGTTTCTTAGGGAGGCGTTGACTAGGATGGGATTCCCTGAGCGTTGGATCAGCTTTGTGGAGGCGTGTGTGGAGCATTGCACGTTCTCGGTCCTGATCAATGGCAGCCCCACCGATTTCTTTCCCTCCTCTAGAGGCCTTAGACAGGGCGACCCCCTTTCCCCTTCCCTCTTCGTTCTTGCGGCGGACTACCTCTCTCGCTGCCTTGACGGCTTCATCCG